CACACACACACACACACACACACACACATTATATGGAATTTGCAAAGAACCCAGGAAAAGTGGCTTACGTGACACTGAATTTTAGAACCAGGAGAAAGTAATTTGTAGTGGCCTGGCACAAACTCAGACACCTCTTTGCACGTAATGATTAACCTGAGTAGTTAAAACATTGTGATATCAGCATACAAATTACAATATACTTTAGTTCCAAAATATCCATTGCTTCATTGTTGTTGTTGTTGTGTGCCTTCTAGTTGTTTCTGACTTATGGCGCCCCTAAGGGGGTGAACCCATCATGGGGTTTTCTTGGGCAGTTTCTTCAGAGGGGGTCTGCCATGGCCTCCCCTTGAGGCTGAGAGAGTGTGACACCCCCAAGGTCACCCTGTTTCCCATGGGATTCGACCCCCGGTCTCCAGAGTTGTAGTCCAGTGCGCCTAGCACTACTCCATGCTGGATCATCAAGACACCATATATTAGGGGTGTGCAGGAAATAATGTTTCATTATTATAAATTTAATTTCCTATTGTTCTTTTTGGGAAGAACTTTAATTCCCCCTCCCCTTCAAATGGGTGCCCTGAGATTGTCTCATCTCTGTCATTTCTGACTTACGGTGATCATGGGTTTTTTTCTTGGCAGAGGAAGTTTGTGCCATGGCCTTCCCCCCTGAGGCTGAGAGAGTGTGACTGGCCCAGGGTCACTCACTGGGTTTCATGGCTGAGTCTTTGTTGTTGTGTGCCTTCATGGTGACCCTAAGGCGACCCTCTCCTAGGGTTTTCTTGGCCAGATTTGTTCAGAGGAGGTTGGCCATGGGTTCCCCCTGAGGCTGAGAGAGTGTGACTCGCCCAAGGTCACTCAAGGGGCTGCATGGCCAAGCTGGGAATCGAAACCACTGCCTCCCCTGAGTGCCGCCCAGCCTGCCCTTCCTTACCTGGGGTCCCTCTTCAAGACCTCCAGCCCCTCCGGAGGGATCCGCCGCGTCACGAAGACCCGCATGGCTCGCTGCGCCGCCGCTCTCATCCGCTTTCGCAAGCCGAGCTCCGAGACGCCTTCGCCGGGGGAAGACGTCGCCTCGGCCCGCTCCGCCTCCCGCGCCGCCCCTTCGCCCTTGGCCCGCCTGGGAGAAGGTTGTCCGGCAGCGCCCCCTGGCGCCCCTTCCCTGCCACGCCGACGGAGCGCTCTTCGCCCAGGCAGCAGGCCAAAGGGAAGAGGAAAACGCTCCTACGTAGCAATGCAAATCCCTGCTTCTCAGCCCTGCTCAAAATGGAGGGCGTTCAGGGAAAATAGAGGGCATGGCCAAAGGGAAGAGGAAAACCCTCCTAGCAATGTAAATCCCTGCTTCTTAGGCATGCTCAAAATGGAGGACATTCGAGGGAAATGGAGAGAAATGACCTAAGAAAAGCGAAAAACACTCCTAGAAATATAAATCCCTGCTTCTTAGTCCTGCTCAAAATGGAGGACCTTTTGGGATTTCTCCTGGACCAGGGGGCTAAAATGGAGGACGTTCCCTAGACAGGATGACCAGATGTCCTCTACCACAAAGGAGGATGACGCACTGTAAAATGTAGGACATTGAAGGAAAATGTAGGGCATGGCCAAAGAAAAGCTTTAAACATTCTTGTAAACAAATCCCTGCTTCTTAGTCCTGCTCAAAATGGAGGATCTTTTGGAATTCCTCCTGGACAGAAGCTTGAAATGGAGGACGTGTCCTGGAAAAGGAGGGTGTCTGTCCATCCTGGGGGAGAGGCACCCAAGAAGGAGGCTGCAGTTGGCAACCCAGGCGCTCCTTCAGCTAGTAAAAAAGTAGATCTTCCCTAAAGGCACCAGATCCCATCAGGTCTTGGAAGTTGAGCAGGGTCAGCTTTGGTCAGTACTTGAACTGGAGACCGCCAATAAATACCAGGTGCTGTAAGCTATATTTCACATTTCCCATAACAAAAAGGTGTGAATGATCCCATAGTTGCAATCATCTATATTTGCAGATGCAAATCTGGAAACAGCTGCTACAATTTAAACAGAAATACAACACATCTTCACAGTGGGGAAGACAGTGGCCAGATGACCTGAATGCTTGCTCTGTCTGTTACCCAACTACTAACTTTGGATGACTTCCAAAGCTCTGCGTTCCCTATCCTAGGCAAGCAGGAGTAGTCCTTAAAGGTTACCTTCAATGGACAGGTGTCCTCTAAGAGCCCTTCAGACAGAGAATTGTAGCGCAGGACACGTGGCAATCATACTACTCAGAGGAAAGTTGGACAAAGCCTTACTTCCAAGAAAGTATGCAGAAGATGTTGTCTCTGTGTTATCTACCATCAAGTCCCTGTCAATTTATGGTGACCCCATGAATTACATCAGGTTTTCTTAGACAAGAAATACTCAGCATTAGCTTTTCCAGTTCTTCTGAAATATAGCTTACAGCACCTGGTATTTATTGGCGGTCTCCAGTTCAAGTACTGACCAAAGCTGACCCTGCTCAACTTCCAAGACCTGATGGGATCTGGTGCCTTTAGGGAAGATCTACTTTTTTACTAGCTGAAGGACATCTGGCACTGCCCAGGTTTGGACCTGATACCCCAAAAGGGATCCAACAGGCATCCATGTTTTCCCACTCCTTCATCCTTTTCACATCGGGTACCTTGCCAACAATATCCCAGAGAGCTCTCTCCCATTTAAACTTTTTTAAACTTCAGGGATCTTGGCATCAGTGCCTTATCCCTCTCCTTTGTTTCTGTTCCCCAGACCTTGTCTCAGGAATTTTAATGGCAGTGTCTCTGACTTTAAAAGAAAAAAAAACTTTTTTTTTAAAGACTGCATAGTGTTCTGGTTTGAGCACTGGTTTGAGCACTATTATGACTGGAGACTAGGGTTCGAATCCTGGCTCTGCCATAGGATCCCACTGGGTGATCTTAGGCAAGTCACACTCTCTCAGCCTCAGATGATGGCAAGGGCCAACCCCCCCCCAAAGAAACTTGCCAAGAAAATCCAATGATAGGTTTGCTTTAGGGTTGCCATAAATTGGAAATTATGAAGGCACACAAAAACAAACAACAAAATGCTTTTCTGCTTTTAGGTAGCATCATTATTAGTGGAGCAAGGATTTAATGCATGTTAAAAATATTGTAATATGAAGATGGGGGAAATGAATGGGAAAGTAGGAAATATTTGAGGGGATCGCCTGCTGTCTCTCTCAGTCCCTTGGGGTCATCCCTAGATAGCACCATTTGTGTATGTGAGTGTGTGTGTGTGTGTGTTA